GGTGCCGAAGAGGGAGCTCTCTGGGCTTCGGCTCTGGGAGTCGTTTCGTTGGTTGTGCGTCTGCCGCTGCCCTGGGCGCTCTGCACCTCCCTGGAGGGTCTGGTCTCCCTCTGGGCTTTGTGTCCAACACCGTTAAGCTGTTGAAGGCCGCGGTTAGATCTTCTGTTCAATTTCTCTTTTCAGGCTCAAAAGTCTACCATCAGAGGGCCATTGCGGGCTCCAGTAGCAGGACACAAGCAGCGTCCAGTGGGGGAGCTATTTAAAGCATGCAATTATGCAAGCCTTTATTTTAAAAAGAATTTGTAGAATATATGTAAACGAAAAATATGCACAAATCGAACCATAGCTTCCCTTCACTATTTAATGTGCTGTCTGAGAGGTTGCCATAAGGGTTAAAAAAGAAGGAAGTAAAATGCCCAAAGTGCAGTGGCTTGGCCAGTCAAGTAATTTTCCAGATTCTGACAGCAAACTATTTGTCATGAAATCAGCTGCCTCCTGACAAAGCTTAGAAAGCTGCTAACATTGGAGCAGACACAAGCAATTGAAACTGATCTGCTAATAAAATTGCTGTTTTAACAACGCTGTTCAGTTTCTCCTCAGAACCCTTCAGGACAGAAATACTTTGCCTTAAGGTGAAAGGCTGTTTCAAATCTTCCCTAAAATTGGGTTGATTTCTGAGTGTAGCCATTATAAAAAGGTGCCTTGCAGGACAGAAAACCTGAAATGTAAAATAATTATTATTCCCCTATATATGAGCTCAGAACATACGAAATAACAGTTTACAGGGAAGGATTAACGCATTGCACAGTAAGGGTTCTGTTGTGAAACTTAGTTTAGAAATAAATTATTGCATATGCTAAGTCAGCTATTCTTACTCCTGCTCTTCACTAGTGCTCTTTTCATTCAGTTTACATCTCCGAGGAGGAGGCGCTTCAGTCACTTTTAACAGATAGTTCTGTGGGCTGATAGGTCATTACGGCCAGAAGGTGGTGATGTACAAAGGCTTAATACTTACAAGCTCTGTTTCAAATGAGGTGGTTATCCAATAATGTCTTGATGGGGTGATGTCTTGATAGGAATGTAAGTTAGGATGAGAAAATAAAGACGGCCAGCCTTTGCAGCTGGTTTTTTGTTAACTGACAGAACAGAGATTCACAAGGTTTGGAGTTTTTGTTTTTGTTTGCTTTTATCTTTATGAAGTGGCCTGCTGGTCTGAGCCTCCTCTGTGCTGGATATGATCAGCTATAGACGCTGCTCAGTCTCCTTGACAGTAATCAAGACTTTGTTTAATGCAGTCTCAGAGCCTCTGAGATCTTGTTTGAACTAGGTGGTCAGGCAGCCTTTGGCAGGTGTTGAACAGAGCAAACTAGTTCAAGGTGGTGACAGAAACCTGCTTGTTGTGAAAGTAAAGCTGCCTTTTTACCTTTTAACCTGGTTTTTTATCATAAACATTCAGAAAGTATTTGTGCTTTGCAGTTATAAGTATTAAGACATTAATAGAGTTATTCTCATCACATACCGGTAGATGTGAAAAGTAATGGATTCCAGTGTGTACTTAGAATCTTAATTACACTTGCTTTTTCGAAGGTCAGAGAGGAAGTATATAAGGCTCCTCTTCACACAGAGTTGACTTGAGTGTTGTCCTTTGTGTGTAGTGGCTGCGTGTACAAAGTGGTAGTTTAAGTTAGCACAACTGGTGGATTTTGTAGTATAGTCCCTGTTATTTTAGTAAACTTAAATAAAAAAGATTCTTCAAATTAAAATGTACTCCACTGCAGAGAGGGAAGCAAGGCTTGGATCCTTCTTCAGCTCCTAATTAGTAATTCAGTTTCCTATGAGAAACTTGTAAGTGGAAGTAAAGGAATCACAGAATCATTAAGGACCTCTAAGATCATCAAGTCCACTCTCAGTAAATAAATTCTTCCTAATATCCAATCTAACCCTCACCTGGTACAACTAAACAACCCCAGTTCCCTCAGCTGCTCCTCATAATTCTTGTTCGCCAGACCCCTCACCAGCTTCGTTGCCCTTCTCTGGACATGCTCAAGTGCCTTAATGTCTTTGTAGCGAGTGGTCAAAACTGAACACAAGGATATACAGTGCTACAGCTAGCTTACTAATACCCCTTTTACACTGATGCTACTGATTGTCTTAAATAGCTTGTAAATCTGTGCAGCATGTGGTGATGTGGAATCACAGTACTTTCTGACTTGCTTTAAACCAGAATGTACGACTGCTGTATCTTGTTGCTCTGTAAAATCAGAACACAGCATCAACAGTTACGATCACATGAAGAATTTGCTGTGTTGTCTGATTTTGAGAAGATGACATAGCAGTAAAAGAGCGCTTAAAAGCAATACCAGTGTCACACTGACTTTTGGGGTACTTTGATTTCTGGTTCTGGTGTGTTTCTGGTACTTATAATAAAAAATAAATGAAAACTCTTATTTCCAGAAGCACTGAAAAATGACTTGTCAATTTTCCGTGATCTTTGACTTTGCAGTTAATAACCTTGCAATTCTTATTGATAATGGAGATATTAAATATAATAAATTATCTTGATTTTAAATGGGAATATAGAATTCTGTCCTGAAGCAGCCATCCTGTTTTACTGCATTGATGTTTCTTGGTTGCTTCATAATTTAAGTCGTGTTCATGTTGGAAAACTTTGCATAAGTTTTTTCCTAATCCCTTCAGATGATGCAGGACATTTTTTTTTCTCATTCCTCTGTTTAACAGGGCTCAGACCATCATGAAGGCCCGTTTGAAAGGAGCCCAAACAGGTCGTAACCTCTTGAAGAAAAAATCTGATGCTTTGACACTTCGATTCAGGCAGATCCTTAAGAAAATTATTGAGGTAGGTAAATTAGAGTTTTCCTGTTTGGCTCACTTAATTTGAACTCTGTTCTGCCAGTTGCGCATCCCAGTTCTGCTAACTTCATTAGGTAGGCTGGAATGTAGGACAGCTTTGTGGATAACAAGTTTTTTTAAGTACTGAGGACAGATAAGCGAATTATGTTTTCCTGGCTGCAATGATAGAGAGTTTTTTATTTTGATAGAGTTTTTTTATTTTGTCAGAGTTAACATTCTTCACCTCTTCCCAAGCAGCCCTAGGCTCTGCTTTCTTTAGTGTCCCAAGTTCCCTATCACCTCTTCTACATTACAGGGAATTTGCTCTGATACTTTAGTAGTAGATTTAACATGTTCTGTAGCCCCATTTTTGTTCCTTTATCTGGCTTGAGAGAATACTGCAGATCTAGAATGTTTCCTGCACAACTAGGTACACTAGAAAGCAGTTTTGTCCAGATGGAGCTTGTTCCTTTATAAAGAAATACAGAGTCCTGCTTGTTCCTTGCAACATGAATGACAAATCTAAGATACTCAGTAGAGCCTAATATGGCTTGTTCTGTTCTAGCACACAGATGTGTTTTAGTTGTACCAGTTTGGCTGCAGCTGCCGTGATATCCATGGTTAGCAGTAGTGCTTTGTTAGCACGCTGTAGACAAGCTCTTGGCACTGCATTTTGTTTCCTATAGACTGTCTAATACACAAAGGCTTTTGCACCTCAATAGCATATTTTTCAGCTACAAGGGCTTCAAATGTGTAAAAGTTGGGGGAAATAAAAGGAGTAGAAGGAGAGCGCAGCTTCACAAAGCAGCATAGATCTGTATGTTGAAAATCTACTTCAGCTGTCTCATAGTATTCAGTACAAGATGAAGTCAGCGTGTTTTCCTACTGAGCCATTTTATTGTTGTAATTGAACTGCCATGTGGTAGAATTTTACAGTTATTAAGGCAGACAAGTCTTTTGCCATTTTTGTGAATTCTACACTGGGTCAGTGAAGCAGCTGAAATATTTCTTTTTTTGCCAGTCACCTGGTAATTATGACTTGCAGTTTGAGAGTAGACTATACATACAGGACTTTTTCACACTCTACAGTTTTTTATTATTCCCTTTATGCTGTTAGTTATTTATCGTGGAAGAGCCAGTAATGATGCCTCTTGCATTTATTGCCTTTTTTTTTTTCCTTAAACAGACCAAGATGCTGATGGGTGAGGTGATGAGAGAAGCTGCCTTTTCACTTGCTGAGGCCAAGTTTACAGCAGGAGATTTCAGGTGAGGATTGCTGATCTTGTGGATGTTCTACCCATGGGAAAGAGGGGT